TCGAAATGGGTGCAATTGCTTTATCAGCAATTGCTTGATTTCCAGGGGCAGACACTTCTCAGAGCTGGTGCAGCCCATTACAGTAACTGAGCCCTGGTCCCTCCTCAGAAGCCCAGCCTATTAATTGAGGTTACTGAGCCCTGATCCCCTCCCTAGAAGCCCAGCCTGTCAACTGAAGTCATTGAGCCCTGATCCCCTCCCTAGAAGCCCAGCCTGTCAACTGAGGCCATTGAGCCCTGATCCCCTCCCTAGAAGCTCAGCCTGTTAAGCTGAGGTTACTGAGCCCTGGTCCCTCCTCAGAAGCCCAGCCTGTCAACTGAGGTTACTGAGTCCTGATCCCCTCCCCAGTGGCCCAGGCTGTCCCAGTCCTATGACAGCTCTCATACCTCTCCAATCGATGTCTATTTCCGTGGTCTACCCCCAGAAGCCTCTGCCCTTCTCCCATCAGTACCTTCCCCAGCTGAGGCAAGAAGAATCAACCCAGCCATCTATATAAGGAAACAGATTTATCACCCTCGCCCAGGCCTGCTCCTCGAAACGCAAGCTATTCAAGGCCACAGTTTCCAGCTCTCAGAAGCAAGCATGCAGCTGCACTCATCTGCCATCGACTGCTTTGTCAGGGGACGTGTAGGGAACGTGGCCGGAGAGCAGCCAGTATTGGAGAAGCAGCCGGCCCAGCCAAGGTGGGGGCTTCCCAGCAGCTCCTGAAAGGGGGTGGGAGCCAGAGGCAGGCCTGGGGAGGATGGTGAGATGGACAGCATGGTCCCAAGGGAGGAAATGGTTTTGTAAAGCCATAGGGTGGTCTTTGTACACACTGGCCAGGGCCAGAGAACCAAGCTACCCAGAGGCCCAAGGGCAAGGAAGGGCACAATCCAAGAAATTAGAAATCTATTTGGAAACAGACTTCAAGAGAAGAGAAAAAGATTGTGAAAAACAGCACCCACCACCACCACAAGGGTTCTCCCACAGGGCCGGGGACAGGCCAGGCTTGGGCATGTGTCGGGGATTCTGTTCCTGTCCTCAGTCCTCCAGCACATGGATTAAGAACCCTGGTGGAGCAGCGTGGGCACGTCCCACCCAGCATCGTCCCCGAAGAAGACTTTTGGCCAAGGTCCCTCGGCTGCCTGCACCGACACAGTGCCCGCTCAGCTGACCTGACCCCAAGAAGCGATTTTCTTAACTTGACGGAGAAGCAGGTCTCTTGATTCCTGGCCCAGGCTGTTTCTCCCACACCATACTTGCAGCTTGCTCT